TCCCCTTATCTAGATCATCAATAAAGACATTAAACAAAACTGGCCCCAAAACTGAGCCCTGAGGGACACCACTGGTGACTGGCCACCAACTGGATTTCACCCCATTAATCACAACTCTTTGGGCACGGCCATCCAGACAGTTTTTAACTAGTGAGGTGTACACTTGTCTAGGCCATAATTCACCAGCTTTTCCAGGAGAACGCTGTGGGGGACAGTGTCAAAGGCCTTACCAAAGTCCAGGTAGACAATGTCCACAGCCTTCCTGCATCGAGAACACGAATGAGCTGAGATTCAGCTGAGATTCCTCAGCCGAAAGGAGGCAGCCAAGAAAAAGATCTGTTCAATGCACACACCAGTGTGCGTGCATAGCGGAGTCATCTGTTTGTAAATAAAGCAACAAACATACAACCTCTGGTTAACCACTGTGGCTGACGTGGGGTAGGAGCTATATCCGGTGAAACACAGCTCAACTCACAGCACAAAAACAACCAAATAACTGTACTCTTGCCAAAACCCAGAGAAGACAGACATCGTGTTACAAACAGCGTGGCCTTCCCATAAAATGCAACAGAGAAAACACAAAACGCTTGTGAAGTACCAATTTGCACGTGTAGCTGCTGTTCCTGCAGTTGTGAAGCCCTAAAATTAAGTGCAATGTTAAGATGACTGGGAATCAGTGATTCAATACATAGAATAGTTAGATTTGGAAGGTACCTTAAAGATCATCCAGTTCCAAACCCCCTGCCCTGGGCAGGGACACCTCCCACCAGACCAGGTTGCTCAAAGCCCCATCCAGCCTGGCCTTGAACCCCTCCAGGGATGGGGCAACCACAGCTTCTCTGGGCAACCTGTTCCAGTGTCTCACCACCCTCACAGCAAAGAATGTCTTTCTGGTATCTAATCTAAATCTCCCCTCTTCCAATGTAAAACCTTTACCCCTTGTCCCATTACTACACTTTTTTGACAAAGAGTCCCTCCCCAGCTCTCCTGTAGGCTCCCTTCAGATTATAAGGTCTCCCTGGAGCCTTCTCTTCTCCAGGCTGAACAACCCCAGCTCTCTCAGTCTGTCTTCATAGGAGGTGCTCCATCCCTCTGATCGTCTTCGTGGCCCTCCACCGGACCCGTTCCAACAGGTTCATGCCTTTTCTACGTTGAGGACCAACGTTGTCCAAAGCTGGACACTGTAAGGAGATCCCTTCGTGGCTACCAAAGTGCTGCACTCCAGCAAGCCCAGTGCCTGGAGAACTTCATTTTGCCCAGAAGCCACTGAGCACGGAAAATATTACTGCAGCTGGCTGAACGCAGAACATCACTGTCTTCCTCAATTCACATCCGCAGGAGAATATATAGGCTATTCTTTCACTGGTATGAATTTTACCAGTCCTGGGGGGGGGGCTTTGGGTGGTGTTGGGTTTGGGGTTTTTTTGTTGTTGTTGTTTTGGTTTTTTTGTAGTTTTTTGTGTGGTTGGTGAGTTGGTTGGGTATTTTTAGGAAAAAGAAGCTACTCCGAAAATGGTTTGAGGATTAAAGACACAGAGCAACCGCTGGCCTCGTCCTCACGAGGCCACCACCTGAGCGAGGCAGAGAAGAGCAAGGCAAAAAGGAAGCCCTTTAGGCAGGCAAACCATCTGCCATATAATTCTGCCACATAAGATATCAAAAGGGCAGCAACATACGGTCCTCTCCTGACAAGAGCTACCCACTGCTTCTGGTTTGGACTTTGCTAGCCCAGGTTGTAAAAGCTGGCCCTGGGTGCAGAGGTACATATTCAGCAGAAGCCAAGATGCTTCTCTAGCTGCTTCTGAGACACCATTCCCTGCAGCTGTAAGACATCTGAAACAGTCATCAAGAGATAAGATTCAAAAGAAACAGTATGAGTAGCTTCATACTGTTGCCGTTTCGGTATTACTTACTTCCAGTAGTACTACTCCCACCTCTCCTCGTTCCCAAAAAGCCAACAAAAAAACCCACCCCTGTATCATCTGGGTGCTTCATCATGTACTGAAGCAAATTGTTACTCCCTCACAAAAAAAAAATCACAGTCAGAGAACTCATTAGCCTATTCCCTCACCACCTACCATTTCTCACATTAAATGGAGAGTATTTGTGAGCCTAGGCAATCAAGTTTCTAAGGCAGAGAGTAAAAATTTGCTATTAGAATAGTCCATCACCACAGACCTTTCCTTCCTTCTTCCCACCCACCCACAACCTTTAAGAGAAACAGTTATAGCTCATTGGGAACCGAGGGAAACACCTCACATCCAGCAAATCAAGCTCGTGCGTGTTGCCATACAGAAGTTCCTCCTTGGACCAGCAGCACATAGAACCATAGAATGGTCAGAGTTGGAAGGGACCTTAAAGATCATCGAGTTCCAACCCCCCTGCCCTGGGCAGGGACACCTCCCACCAGCCCAGGTTGCTCCAAGCCCCATCCAGCCTGGCCTTGAACCCCTCCAGGGATGGGGCAGCCACAGCTTCTCTGGGCAACCTGTTCCAGTGTCTCACCACCCTCACAGCAAAGAATTTCTCCCTGGTACCTAACCTAAATCTTCCCTCTTCCAATTTAAAACCGTTACCCCTCGTCCTACATGCACAAACAGCACTTGGTACGCACTTGTTTGCCCCCCAGAGCTGATCATCTTGCCCTGCTACTGGGACAAAGTAAACCATTCTAATTAGAGAAACGTCAGCCAAATTTGTCAAAAGACTATTTCAGAAGTTAAGAGATCCAAAAGTCAAAGAATGCTAAAATTCTCCAGGAAAGAAAACGTTGACCTACTTCTGGGTGAGGCCGCCCAGCTGCCCTCCCAGCGAACAAATCGGAAGCTGACAAAGGATTTGGCAATTAAGAAAACAAGGCATTTACAAGTATTCACACCGATGCCAAACTCCCCTGGTCTGTACGTTGTATGACAAAAAAAGACTTGCCTTGCTGACCCCAAGGACACAGGTTTTACCCACTCTCCATCAAAGAGGGCACCTAATCACCTTGACTCAATTACCTAAGCTCTCATGTGCTACATCTTGGCAACATCCTCGTCTCCCCAAAAGGATGGCACTTGGCATTCAAGCCTCAGGACCAGGACAGAAAAATTCCTTCTACTGCCCTCTTGCTAATAATCTTTTTTTTTTTCTAAAGCAAAACAATAGGAAAAAAAAAACCTCATACAAATAAACTTATTCTGCTAATTTCTTTAGCAATCTAAATAATTAGAAGGAAAATTTAACACATTCATAACAGCAGGCCTTGCCCAGCTAATTTTCCCAACAAATTTGAGAATCCAATGAACTATGCAATAGTCACTTGGCTAGCAAGGAGGAATTAGCCTGCATTAACGAACACAAGACTTCATTATAACATAGTTTTAAGTTTAGCAATATGCCAGAATAATCTATTGAAGGAGGAAAGGGACAAGATTGAAACTGCAGACTCAAGCTATTTCTTTCTACTTATCACTAATAAATTCCTATAAATTAAAAATCAATACAGCAGGATGGCACAAGATGAAGGCTAATGTCCATGAAGGGAGGATGTGCCAGACCCTTCTCTCCTGTGCTGCCAGGCACATCCCTGGTTCTGTGGGGCTGGAGAGGACAGGGACAAGCTGCTCTCCCCAGCAGAGGTAGAATTTGCATTGGCTTCTCTGCACTCCATTTCCTATTCCCTCACGCCCAAACCATCATCTTATCTAGATGGGACTGGGGACAACTTTGAATTTATTACAGCGAGGAAGCCTGTCACAGAGCTACTTGAGCTATTTGCTTCTGTCATTAAGAATCATAGAATGGGTTAGGTTGGAAGGGACCTTAAAGATCATCCAGTTCCAACCCCCTGCCCTGGGCAGGGACACCTCCCATCAGACCAGGTTGCTCAAATAGCCATCCAGCCTGGCCTTGAACACCTCCAGTGATGGGGCATCCACGACCTCCCTGGGCAACCTGTTCCAGTGCCTCACCACCCTCACTGTAAAGAATTTCTTCCTAGTATCTAATCTAAATCTCCCCTCTTCCAATTTAAAACCGTTACCCCTTGTCCTGTCACTGCACTTCCTGACAGAGTCCCACAGAGTGAAAGGGAACAGGTTTACAGTATAATATTTTGTCTTAAGCATCGTACCCAAGATTATTTGCCAGGCCACTGACGACTCCGATAACCTCGGTCAGTCAAAATCCAAATCATGCCAGCCCCGGGTGGAAAGATGAAAATGAACACAAAGGATCCGATTTTGAAAACAACCACAAAGGACACCAGCCACACACCACGCAAGAGCAGTTTTTCCATTCTTCAGACCTGACCTCAGCAAGGCTTGTTTAGGTTACTGTGCAAAAATCGGTAAGAAAACAGTACACAAAGCTCTAGGATAAAAAAAAGGGGGTTGCCTAACAGGTACTAAGTATAAAGTTAAATTTTGACAAATTTATTATACAGTTGCACTTAACTCAAAGAGGAGGAAGGAAAACTGGTGCCACGCAGCAGCTGACAGACTCCTTTCTCTGTACGACCTGCAATTCAGGCACATGTCACATACAAAACGCAGAAATTTCACCATCATGGCAACTCAGAAAATATTGGTGATTTGCCACATAGTATTTGAACTAAATTTATACCCTTTTATTTTTTATTTGCACTACGTAGGGAGACTATCTAAAAACAATTTAAAAAAATTAAATCACTTTTACTACTTTTACTTTCAAAAATACCAATCCTCTTTCAGTTCAGTAGCGCATTTTTCATAAGCACGCGGGTGCTTCTTCTATAAAAAAAGGCAGCTATAATACCTTACCTTCAAAGCATTTAATATAATTAAGCATGTATTAATTTTTAAAGAAAATAAGTCACTTGTCTTTCCCTTGTCAGTAAGTCCCCACCCACAGAATTTATCCTTAAATCCTAATTGGTTACTCCTTTAATGCAGACAACTGTCTTTACACACACACACGAAGATGATGTTCCACTGCATCTTCTTTCCAACTACTTCATAGCAAACATTTAATACATATTTCCTTTAAAGAAATCTGAGTGAATTTATTGTATAAAATTATGATTGGCATGGTACAGAAAAGTTCCTTTTAATGCACATTTCCCATTAACTTGTACACAAATATTACAAGTATCAAGCAAAATGCAAAAGTCTTAAGAACTAATTCCATAATACAAAAGTATTCACGTAGTGAAGTTACTCTGGTTACAAAATGTCATGGAAATAAAAGCACTTCAAAATACGTATCTGGGAAATGTTCTCGAATAATCAACACAACCTTAAGTTAGTTAAAAAATGCAAAGAAAAGAGATACCCTCTTCAAAACACTGTTGTTGATTTGGCAAAACGGAGCAAAGTTCAGATCAGTTCGTTTATCGAAGGATTGTTCTTCTCAAGAAACAAACAAAATAAAAAAACCTTTAGTTAAGAAAGGGCTCAATTCTACTATGATGACAAATAACGCCATCAAAAAGTTACCCGGCTCTCTTGTTTTCACACAGGAGCTGTCAGAGGCAGAGACGTGTCAATGAATTCTTCCAGGTAGATACAGATTGCCTTTTCAAAAGCAAACCAACCAACCTAACGACAAGAAAAGAAAAAAAAAAAAAAACCAACCAAAAAAACCCCAAAACAACAAAAAGGAGACAAATCTGAACTTTGTTGTTTCGTTTAACTAGTTCAGTCCCTTAGGTCACAAGGCCCAAGAAGAGCAGTTGGCAACGGATACGTATTTAAGGAACGAAATGGAACACAATAAAATAACACAGAATCCTGCAGACTGAAAGCATCTTTAAAAAAACCTGACACAAAATCAGCAATACGGTCCGTTATTTTTGTGTTTGAGCAATTGAACACCGGTACCTATAGCTACATGAAACTCACACACGCAGGACATCACATTCAGGCATTATTGTTGTTTTCCTTTTACACACACACCAGGAACTATCAGGGTCTCCAATCTATTCAAATGCAGTGAAAAACAGTCCACAGCACGCGTAAAAGGAGCATACAGTGTTGTCTTGCAAAAATGGAGTCAGAATTCCTGAGTCTCAGACATTACTGTCCTCCTCCTTTCCTGGATTATTTATTTTTTTTCCAATGAGAACCTCTAGTTTTCATTTCTTCACTCTGATGAAATTTATAATAGATTGTGTCTTGTAAAAAAATGTCGAACTTTTAGAAAATAACATGCCAACCAAAGTGAATTTTTAAAGCTTTTTAAGGGGAGTGGGGATTCAATTACAAAATAAAGGCCACCTTCATGTAAAATTAGTACTGCCAGTATCCCATCTTTCTGTTTAAAAGATTTAGCTCCCTGGTCTGGAAGCCTTCTTACATGCAGTCACGTGAGTCGAAAAACTCCATCCTTTTAACGATTAAAAATACTATAAATAGGACTAATGTGGAACAGCCCTTTGTTACAATCACCAAGGTGGCCAAACCAATGCAACAGTTGTCAAATAGTCACTGCAATCTATTATAACTTCTGTATTTTCCCTTTTACTTTGCATATTACACAGTGTAACTTAAAATGTTATTTAAGAGCACTTCAGTCCCACAATGTAGGATTTAAGCTTGTGTGAATACATATGCATGGCTCTGCAACATTTTTAATGACTTACAAAAATACATTCAACCAAAACTTTATATAGGGTTCTCTTATTTTTAAATCAAAAATGAAGGAAAAGCCAAATGGTCCCATCATTAGCTAAATAATATACTCCAAGTTCTGGAAGCAATCCCAAAGCAAAAAGCACATTCAAGAATAACATACATTGAATTGCATACTTTCTCATTCATCTTTTATCAGTAATAAAATTCTACTGCATATAATTATTCAGCCTTATAAATAACGTTAAGCAGAAAAATATTTACCTCTGTGCTACTTTTCTCAGTTTATAGAAGCATTTCTCAGTTTATAGGAGCAAAGGGAAAAAAAAAAAAACCTAAAGTGCAGACTACAGGCCATGACAGGCATAATAAATGACCAAAGGTGCAGCCAAATTTGCAATTACATCTTAAGTTACTTTGCCATCTTTCTTGTCTTGCTAGAAGTCATCCCGTGTGCAACTGAAGAGCTGGTCGGTTGGTTTGTGCCACAGTACAACCTGTAACCACTTGTAATTTAAATTCTTTTTTTTTTTTAGAACTAGTTGAATTGTCCATAGATATTTCTAGGCAACAGCTTAGGTTCGCCAAACCTCAGTTTATTAATACTTGAAGAAATCACACAATATTGACACCTCCTCCAGAGAATGCTACTGTCCTTTTGTTGCAGTACGTGGTTGAGCCGCTGATACTGGGCTGACTGTCCTTCACAAGTGATGTCTTCATTTCCATCTCACACGCTACAATAGCCGCGTTCAGCTCCACTTGAGCTCGGTGAACAACATAAAACATGAGTCCTATGCTTATGACAATCTGCAAATGAAACAAAAGAACATCGTAGGCTACGGGAACTGGGAGCAGGGACACAAAGCAACCATCCTGAACAAAACAAAAAAAGTCATCCATGCAAAGACTCGCGGAGGCATCTGTTGACTCAACGCTTCACAGGCAAGACATTAGAAGAGAAATTAACCAGTGAGCCTAGATACACTAACAACCTAAAGAGCATATCAGAACATAGGAATTACATAGAACTGAAATAATTGATGTGAATTGATGCCAGGCAGAAAAGGACCTGGGGGTGTTGGTCGACTGTCGGCTGAACATGAGCCAGCAGTGTGCCCAGGTGGCCAAGAAGGCCAACAGCATCCTGGCCTGTGCCAGGAACAGCGTGGGGAGTAGGGCCCGAGAGGTGATCGTCCCCCTGTACTGGGCACTGGTGAGGCCTCACCTGGAGTACTGTGTCCAGTTTCGGCCCCCTACCATAAAAAAAGACATTGAGGTGCTGGAGCGGGTCCAGAGAAGGGCGACAAAGATGGTGAGGGGTCTGGAGCACAAGTCTTATGAGGAGAGGCTGAGGGAACCGGGGTTATTCAGCCTGGAGAAGAGGAGGCTGAGGGGAGACCTTATTGCTCTCTACAACTACCTGAAAGGAGGGTGTAGAGAGGTGGGGGTCGGTCTCTTCTCCCAAGTCACAGGCGACAGGACGAGAGGAAATGGCCTCAAGTTGCACCAGGGTAGATTCAGGCTGGATATTAGGAAAATTTTTTTCACTGAAAGGGTTATCAGCCATTGGAATGGGCTGCCCAGGGAGGTGGTGGAGGCACCATCCCTGGAGGTGTTCAAAAGATGGGTTGATGTAGTGCTGGGAGGTATGGTTTAGTGATGATGCTCCTTGTTTGTTGTGTGGGTGTCTATTTTTGTCAGTTAGGTTGACGGTTGGACAAGATGATCTTTAAGGTCCCTTCCAACCTAGAAGATTCTGTGATTCTGTGAATCTAAAAGACATTTTCTTTCTTTCCATTGACATCCACATACTTGTTAGAAAGCAAACTCTTCACTTTCTCTCTTGGCAAAAGTGTTTCCACAAAGAAACAACGTGGTGTTATTCCTGTCAGTCAAAAGGGCTGTTTCCCAGGATCAAGTGAATAGTGAGTTGAAACAGTTCTGCAGTTCTCTGCAGCTTGCAGAACAGCAGAGACAGGGGAGGATGCAGGCCAAAGGAAAGAAAACTTCTTGTCCTTGCCCCTTTGGTGTGGAAGAGAGCAGAGAGCAGCCGTGTCACGGTGCTTCCCGGGTACCAGGACTAAACAGGACAGAATCAGAGTTTCCGAGCATCTTGGTGTAGTCTGGGTGGGAAGAACATGGTTTCTGGAGGATGGCTCAGGGAGGAAACAGAATGCTGGTGGTGTAAGGGTTTTTTGTTTATTTGTTTTAAGGAGGAAATGTCATCCAAAGCTATGGGTTTACTTCAGGTTTTTGGTCTGAATTTTATTGCTAAGAATTTTTAAGCTTTCACCACAAAATTTATCTGGAAAAAATCTGGACAACTTTTGCTTCAAAATTACTCATTCAATGACATTGGCAAGCACCACACTCCCCAGAGGCGGGCTTTGGTTTCAATAAAACACCAGTTAAGTTTTCAACTGAGATCCTCCTTAAAAAAAACCAAAATCTTAAAATAAAGTCAAGATGTCTCATAGTGAGAGTCCCTTTGAAACAAGTAAATTCCTCTGCCTTTTTTAAGAACGTCTTATGAAACTACCTGGAATCTGTAACTTCCTTCCCAAAAACCAAAAAGGTTATACTGTTTACAACAGAACCTAAAGTTTTGAGTCCAACATCTAAACTCCATTATTAATCGGCAGGGCTACGTTTTCTTTAACATTAAGGATTATCACTTAAAACCTCTGCCAGCACAGCATAAAAGATGCTAGAATATCACGGAGTAAGGTGATTGACAAGTATGGTCACAGGATAATTGCAGCTAGAAGGCAGTCTCCAGCCCAACCTGCTGCTCCAAGATCAGACCAGGTTGCTCAGGACTTTTGTCCAGTCAGGTCTTGAAAACTTCCAAGTACAGAGATGAGATTTCACCATCCCTCTGAGCAACCTCCTCCCCTGCTTGACTATCCTTGTGGTGACAAAGATGTTTCTCACTAACTCACGTTATATGTTTCAAACGTTATATGTTTCAATGTAAGAGCCAAAAAGACAACTATGGACACCAAGTTCTGAATACATAGGAAAAATCCTGCTCTAAAAGATTACCCAAATATTTAAATTTGACTGGTTTTAGAGATATTACTACTAGCAGTCTAGCTGAATAATATTAAAATATTAAAAGAAAATATATATACACACAGACAAGCATGAAACGTGGAAGATTTTTACAACTATTTACTAAATCAAAGTCCCATCAAAGCCCAACCAGGCAAAGCACCAGGGAGATGCCTGAGAGAAAGTGGGAGAACGTAAATAATTCCTCCACTAACAGGCTCCCTTTCTCTTAGTCAGTCAGGTCCCAAGGACTATTCTCAAGGAGGCGAGAGCTCCTGTTCACACATTCAGCCCCTCCAGCTGGCGCTTACCTGAGTGACAGCTATGTCACAACTTATATAATCTACAAAGGAGAGCCAATGTCATTAAAAAAAACATTAATGGGCAAAAAAAAAAATAATGGAGAAGACCAGTAAAAACTACTACCCTGGAAATAGCATTTCACAACTAAAATGAAAGCTGATCAAGTAAGCACTAATTTTCTTTCTATGAAGGCTACTTACCCCACGTTTAGAAAGGCGTTTTTAATACTCATCACCCTGTTCTACGAAGCCTATAGATTATATGTTCCATTTAAAAACACACAAGTTTTGGGGCGGGGAGGAGGTCTAAAATGGTCCTAGCCTTCATTTTATGTTAGCACTGTTGAATATCAGCTTTATGATTGGAAAAACAGAGGGAGATAAATGACTGCAGTACCAACTGCAAGTCTGCCAATCGTGGCAACTGCTGGTCAAACACAGCCTGAAGTTCCAGCGCTGGCAGAAGAGGCTTTAATATATAATCTGGTTCTGAAATATTCATGACCTTTATGCTCATAACAGTTGCAGACTTAAAGTCTACGCCCAAGATTTATTGACAAATTATTTAATCAGCTAAGCTGATGTAAAGGCACTATACACTTCTCATGAATTTACTCACTTGCAAAATTAAGATATTCCCATTGAGGTGTTTGCAAAATGGTATTTCTAGAGCACTTTTCATCCTGAATTACCTAGGCAAAGTCATGAGTGTTCAGTGCTAAGAGTGAACACTGCACAGGTGCGAGGTCTACAAACCCTGAGCACAGCCCTGCACAGATGGTGGCACAGGGGCTTTTGTGTAGGGGGGGTTTGACAAGTCTAAAATTCAGCAGGAGATTACCACAGAGGGCAAGAGAAGAAAACTTGACAAAACTGTGGCAGAAATAGAAAAAGAGAACAGTGAGTAAGTTCTGCTTTGTGTCACGTGAGGTATGAGAGAATTAAACTTCTCTAACAGAAGGAAACAAAATCAGATTAAAAGGGTACACTGGAACCCCATTTCTCTGGGCACCCAACAATCAATAAGCCTGTGAAAAAGAAACGTCAGCTCAGTTTTACACAATCACTGGGAATACCAATAACAGAGTTATGAATTAAACACTTCTTAAAACCTGCTACTTTTCAGTATCACATGCCACACCCCCTTGGCCCTGAGTCTGTAAGAGTTCTGCTGCCTCAGACCCATGGAGTATGTGAATCTTAAACTTCACCATGATTACTTAAACTGTCAGTTTGCAATCACCTCTCACACAGCTTTACCAAAAAGCTCTGACTGACTCAGCATGCCCCTCCAGAGTCCCCTATTCCATGATCCGAGTCCTACTCAGCTATGTCTATTACACAAAATACTACGTACATGAATCCATATCAAGACTGAACAACTCAGCTGTCATCGGAAGCCTGGGGACTTCATCCAAGCACACGTTTGGTTAAAAGAAATTTTACAGAGGGACAATGAAATTACAAGGAACAGTAATGTTCATACAAGCTTGTAAATTTCAGCTTTGTGTTTTTCTTTTAAAAGATAACATTATTATTTTGTATCTTTGCCCTACAGTAATATCACCTAAGAATTGTCATGGCTCACAGCCTAACAAACCTGCATTGCAATAAACAAACCAAAAAATCCAACACTACTACACAGATTTTGCTTACCAATCAGCAACGTAGATTAAATGAAATAGAACAAGAGGAAATAAATGATTGCCACCTTGACCCATGAAAGCCCCCTGCTTTTGCACTGGAGGCTGCACGACCTGAAGGACAAAGTAGCAATACTGAGCCTCTCTCTGTCTCACCCACGTCCCCATGGGCATGCAGTTTCCAAAGCAAAGATTCAACGGCTTGAAGAGACAAGGCTACAGGAAGGAAACTTGTCTACTGGCTGCAGAAGAAGAATTCTGGCTTGGATCCCACCGGTACAGCAGATGAGCAAGAAATTAGAGGGGTACAGAAATAAACTCAAACACAAGAAGATGACTGTTTCTGAGAGTAACTGCTTATCCAAGCAGTCATAAAGAGACTGATGTTGGTGTTACCAAGGTCTGTGAAAGCGATTATTTTCACGTACCTGCAAACTGAATATAAAATAGCCGCTAAGGCTTTGTTCCGCGATCACGTCCTCCATGGTGCGCAAGGTAGTGCCCAAGTAGGAGTTCAGGAGCTGAGTGGGCAGCAGCCCAACCGAAGAAGCCATCAGGTAGTTGGGTAGTGACAGATCTGTAATCTGAGTAGAAGACAGCGTAAGAAACGGAGCACAGCTCCAACAACACAGTCGATGTGCACAACCCACCAGGCTGCTGCTCCCACCACCATCCCTGCAAAATAATTAAAGCATCCTTACATTCCCTCACCGAGACTTTCCACTGTGTATCCCAGATCATAGAATCATAGAATCGTCTAGGTTGAAAGAGAGCCTTGGGATCATCGAGTCCAACCATCTCCCCTACTCTACAAAGTCCTCCCCTACACCATGTCCCTCAGCACTGCATCTAAACGGCCCTTAAACACAGCCAGGGATGGGGACTCCACCCCCTCCCTGGGCAGCCTGTTCCAATGCCCGACCACTCTTTGGGTGAAAAATTCCTTCCTAATGTTCAATCTAAACCTACCCTGTTGGAGCTTGAAGCCATTCCCTCTCGTTCTGTCACTAATTACCTGTGAGAAGAGACCAGCACCAACCTCTCTACAGTGTCCTTTCACGAAGTTGTAGAGAGTGATGAGGTCTCCCCTCAGCCTCCTCTTCCTCATACTAAACAGTCCCAACTCCCTCAGCCGCTCTTCATATGATTTGTTTTCCAGCCCCCTCACCAGCTTCGTTGCCCTCCTCTGCACTTGCTCCAGCACCTCCAGATCTCTCTTGGATTGAGGTGCCCAAAACTGGACACAATACTCGAGGTGTGGCCTCACCAGTGCCGAGCACAGGGGCACAATCACCTCCCTACTTCTGCTGGTCACACTATTTTTGATACAAGCCAGAATGCCATTGGCTTTCTTGGCCACCTGGGCACACGGCCGGCTCATAGTCAGCCGTTTGTCAACTAGAACCCCCAGGTCTCTTTCCTCCAGGCAGCTCCAGCCACACTTCCCCCAGCACCACATAAAGCACCACAGAACGTGGCTAGTTTTCATCCGGCCTGCTTTAAAGTTACTAGGTTTTATTTCATTTCATCTTGCCTTACGCAACATCTCTGTGCAGAAGTCATTAACTAAGGATGCAATTACACTGTTCATTGAAGATGTTTATTTCTTCGTGGAGAACAGAGCCCTACGATTTATGAGAACTTGCCCGTGGGAAGAAATTACTTTATCAAATGCGAAGGTCTAAAGCAAAAATCTATTCGCTTTGCGTTTTACATGTATGGAAACTAATAAAAGAGGTAATTGTTCAAAATGTCACCATATTAAATATGATCTAGGTAAACAGCATGGCAGATAAAATTTCCCTCTGCAAGGGAAGTTCTATAGCTCATTAAGACAGATACATGTATCAGCTATATCTATACTGATATACATGGGTATCATTAAGATTCTCTACCGAGATATTTGACATCGCACTTTAATTAGTGAACAAAATAGTACACACAGCTACAGCTTTTGTTAGTGTCTCTGGAAAAAACACTCGTAATACTTCAAAGTATTTTCCTCTCTCTGCTGTGAAATCTCTGTTCCGAGTCAGTATGTGGACAGCTTACATGGGAACAAAGTACCAGCTAAAACAGTATCAGCAGCCATTGGGAAATATTAAATGCAAGAGCCAAGAAGCCAAAAGATATTTACGCAAGAAAATGAAAACAGGAGGAAACTATGGGTTTAAAAGCAGTGTGAGAAGGGCGATTTTGAAACAGGCAGTCTAAGGAATTTTCCAGACGATTCAGTTGATCAGATAGTAATAAAACAAATTTTAATTAAGAACATCCCCTAATGATGGGAGCCTACATGGAAATTATTGACCTTGACAGTTTTGTACAATGTCGAAGACAAGAGAATAGCAGCAAAGTTACTCATTTCATCATGCTATTCTTAAAATAAACTTTGGTTACTATGAAAGTCACAGTGCTGAATTCTCAGAGCTCTAAGCACCATCAGTGGAAAGTTTTTGGGAGGAAGGAAGGGCAACAGAGGAGGAGAATGCAACGAAGCATAAAGATTAAGAATAATTCACTGGAACAAGATCCAATAAGCCAATTCCAAACTTCACACTGCAAATTATACTTCCCACAGACTAAAATATATACCAGCAGCACAAATAATACATTTCCCTCTCTATACAAGATTAATTTAGATTTGTAGTGAAAAAGCACTACATAATTATGTCAGAACTTCACATTTGACCGATGCTTTGAAAAGATTTTTTTTTTTTTAAACATTATAGTAATCTGGGGCATGTAATAAGAATGCACAACTGAAACTTCCCATATTGCCATGGGAATGAAGGAGCTGCTATTAAAAGTCTCTGAAATACTAACGCTGAGGAAAGACTTGCTAAGTAGGATGCTATCATTAAAACTAATGGAGCTGGGAAACTTCCCAAAGATTGTTTTAACGCTGCTGGCCACCTCTTTTGGTTTTGTATACATTATTAAGGACACTTGGGTTGCAGAGCAACACATCTGCACATCTGGATCTGTCCTGAAGCAACCGTTCCTCCTGAGGAAGGCTCTTTCCAAACGAAGGGAATGCCAATGGGTACACTGGACTGCAACTTGTGCTTCCACTAATATGAAAGCTAAGAAGAAAAGGGAAAAAATTTTGCAGGTACCCTTTTAACTCCTGGTTTGTAAAGTTTAGACCTGCACTGGTATCCCTTCCCCTAGAAGGCACAGGAAGCAGATGCTGTCCCTACCTAAGAAACCTGAGAAATTGTCAATAAAACTTACAGCTTTCCAGATTTTTCCTTCTATGAACTTTACCTATTCTATAAACCTGTCGGGCTGGGGTCTGGGTGGCCAAGTTGCCAACAGCAGCTCCCATGACTCTGTTTCTAGTGAAAGTTCAAGCCAGTGAAATTAACAGTGAAATCCCAAGGCAAGCACAGATGCAACTGCATTATGGGCCGTACCGATGTATTTTAATAAAACTAAGAAATACCCATCTGCTCTGGTAACGAGAGCATTAGCCAGAAACTCTCCCATTAAGCCTTGGAAGGGCTTTTTGCAGCCAAAGTTTTTTGTGTATTCTTTGCAGCTGACACCTTTGGTTTGGTACTGTCAAAGCACAAATATTTGTGTCAGGACTTTGTTGGGGGCTCACATGCCTTTGGGGATTGCAGCAGATTTCTGCTCCCCCCCCTACTTACAAACCCCCATGTTTCGGGTCAGACAAGCTTAGCAACCGAGAGCAAAGCACAATTCTGATGGTCTTTATTTTCTCCCCCCCGCCAAAAAAAACGGAACAAAACCAAAAATAGTTGTTAACTTTCCCACAATCAGAGCAGGCAGCCCGCACGCTCCTGCAGAGCAGGTACCATTTCTTCAACTGATTTCACCACCTGCATTTCTGGAACCAGAGAGGGGCACTCAGATATTTTAGTCCTATTATTTCTTTCATGTGATATTCCTCTCAAAGAAGGGGAAGAAAAAAAAAAAAAAGAAATACGAGGTCTGCTCTAAGCTACACGTGGCACTACAAATAATCAGTTTGCACAAATCTCTTTCCCAAGAGCCACTAGTGGAAAGGAGGTGATAAGCTACATACCAGGCATCCTTACAGACCTGCCTTCAGAACACTCAGGGCTGCCAAGAGGAGAGGGCTGTGCGTGGGCAAACACTTCAGTAAGAGCTATCAGCCCAGCCCATTAGCCCAGGCCACCTTGGCATCACAGGAGCAACAATTAAGCAAAACCCACTCAAAGGGAAATACAAAAGTGCTTGCACAGTTAACAAGTGTCTAGGTCTTCCAGGAAGGCGAGTAAATGCATTACCCCCTGCTCCTACCATTTCCCAAAGAGCAGCAGCATGACCTTCAGAAGCACGATGCTCACGTCTGGCTGGGGATAAACTAAGGAACTCGTGTTAACTTTCTTCTTGTGCCGTTTCAGATAATATGATCCCACCACTAACGAAATGCTAGGAAGCTCTTCCTTCCTTCTGCACATTCCCCTGCAATTCAGCCTCCCCAAAACCCTCAGCAGATGGTACACACCACTGAACAAGTGCTTGTGGAAACCCATTAATTAAAAGCCCTGCAGATGACCCCTGTCACCTCAAGGTTATGCCTTGCCCATTTCCTTCCTCCCCTCTTATTTAAATATTCTCAGTATCTCTACTTAAAAATAGGCAAATAGAAAACACGCACAGACCAGACCACTGGAAAATTAAAGATGCGTAGGTTTTCTTAAGTTCACTGTACTTTACTATTAAGAGCAATCTTTTTGAAATTCATTGCTGAAGCTGCTAGCACAGTGAAACGCATAGGGCACCCCAAATCCCCTTGCATTTTAAACTTCAGTAGAGCATTAAGTTTTCAAATAAGTCCGATTTCAAAGAAATGACAGCTCAGTCTGCGTAGGTAGAATTTTGTACGCTATATGTAGCCTAAATTCAACTCACAACAGGAAACTGCCTTGAATTCCCAGATTTGCATGCCACATTTTTATTTTCCAGTAATCTAATAAAGTGTTCTTGATTAAAAAATTGAACATGCCATCCTTTATTTGACTGTGCTGCAAAATAATAAATCCTGAGGAACAAACGCAGCCCAAACAGTCAACACCCAAGTTATTTGGCATGCTCAAGAATCTGGTTTCATCTCATTTCCTATCTGTTATTTTAACACTGAAACCTTCCACTTGGAAAGAAAATGATTGAGCTTGCAGCACTCAGAGAAAATAAAAACACTGATTTACAGCATCATTTTAACATTGCACTGGCACGAATACTCTGCTGAATCGCGTTTCCAACAGAACAGTTACACCAGGAAGAAAATAATTTTAATTTGGTAATTTTCTGGTCAGCTCTTCAGATCCAATACTATCCTACAACTTCTGTAGACTATTTCAAATGACACTCGGAAGCCATGAGCAACAAAAGCACAACAGCTTCTCCCCAGTTTAGGAGAGTCACGCTATAGCAGAAGCTTCATCTGCTACACCAGGACCTTGGGCTCTGGGGAGACTGCTCCTGGCTGCACAGGTCTAAGCTTCCTTGGTCCTTCAATAATATAGGTAAATAAACACAACAACTCGAGTTCTTCTCATTCATAATGAGGAAACAGTTAAAGGCTCTGCTTAAAAAGAAATTATAAGTTGCTACAGCTTCTACAGACAAAGATTGCAGCTCTTGAGACAAATGACCCAGCACACACAGTTCTATACATCGTAATTTTAACTATTTGATGTGGTGTTAACCCTTAAAAATTGCATGGACTCATTTTTTTTCCTTAAATAACAAATTTGGTATTCAGTGACCTACTCGTTTCAACCAGACAATTCCACCAAAATTAAGCAAGTGCTTCAGAAGGATCAGGACCACAGATGGGGGAAAGAAAGAGTGCTGTAAGAAAGTAGCAGACCAAATCACTTGTTTAGAGGGTCTCTTGAAGAGCATAGGAGTTACTGACAAACGTTTAAAATATTTCACAATCTGGTTTGCTTTGTTTTGATTTCACCAGGTTAGAAGACCACAACTGAGGTGCAACACACAGCCAAAACCAGATCCTTCAGGCAAAGCACTCGGGAATAGCCGAGGGCCTGAAATTATCATCTTATCATATCTTTGAGTATCATGGTACTCAAAAAGAGTACCCTCCATGTTCTTCTTTACTTTCTCCTTTACGATGACCAAAGAGAACAATACAACTATGGATTTTAAAGAACTATTCTTCAGGAATGAACCAATCTTCATCTAAAAGTAGAAGCAGCAAGACTAACCCTTTTCCAAGCCCAAGTTTAAACAAACTTTCGGTACCACCCTGGTGTACATTTTTAAGCCCTAAGCCTACATCTTGCTGCTCTGCCCAAAACCTCTGACCTCTCCTGTGCGCATGGACTTGACAACCTGTATGGATTTGCCAGATGCAGGCTACAAACAGCAATCAAACTGAGCCAAGAGTTTTAATCCGTCCGCTTCTTTCTTCCCAACATGACTAGTTATATTAAGCACTTTAGGGAGACCTGGCAAGACTGCTTAAAAATACAAACCTGTGCCCCCCCCTCAGATCACTTCAAAAACACAGGCACTTTAAAACTATAGAGTTCTCTGTAGACTTTGCTACACAGCACCTTGGTGCTTCTTTCTAACACCAGCACACAGCCTTGAAAGCACGAGAGGAACTCTAACTAGATGCCACTGAAGAAGGCGCCTCCAAAACCTGCCTGCCGACTATCTGCAAGGACAGAAGAGCCACTAGCACCAGCCAGGTGGGGTGGTTTGCTTTTACTCTTGTTAAAAGGGAAAGAAACCAAGGTTTCTCTGCAGGAAAAGGAGACAACCTCCACCAGTGACACCGACCACCATGCCACAAGCCATTCCTTCCAACCTGAGCAGCTTTTCCTTGGCCATAGCACAGCCCGGGCTGGGACTCACCGCGAAGACGGCGTTCTGCAGCCCGAAGGGGATGGGGGTCAGTCGGGCCAGGGCCACCACCTTGAGGCCGCTGCCGCCCTCCACCACTCGGACGACGGCGCTGAGCGTCTCGCTGCCTTGGATCCTGGCCCGCGACCAGCGAGCCAGCAGCCGCTTGCAGGCCATGTGGGCAACGAAGGTGCCGACCAGGACGCCCAGCACCATCAGCCCCATGCCCAGCACGAAGCCGTAGAGGTAGCCGGCGGCCACGTTGAGCAGGATGTAGCCCCAGCCGCAGGGGAAGGAGACGACGATGAAGCCGACGGTGAAGAGCAGCACGCCGGCCAGGCTGTCCAGGCTCTCGGCCCAGAGCAGCAGGTCCCGCAGGTACTGGCGCACCAGGGCCAGCGAGGCGAAGCAGAGGGCGGCCAGGACGCACACGCTGAGGCAGCTCTTGCACCAGCAGGTGCCCAGGAGGCAGCAGGAGCAGCGCAAGCCCCGGGCCTCGGCCAGCCCGGGCCCGCCGCCCGCCTCGGGCAGCTGGCAGAGCAGCAGCTCCGCCGGCGGCAGCCCGCCCTGCTCCGCGTAGGGCCCCAGCAGCAGCCCGCCGGCCCCCGCCGCCTCCGCCGGGACGAAGCCGACGGGGTCCCCGCCGCCTCCTCCTGCCGCCGTCCCGGCGGCTCGGGACAACCAGCGGCCCAGGTCCTGCCGAGCCCCCTGCGCCGCCGCCTGCTTCACGGCCCGGGAGAGGAGCTGCAGCGCCGCGGTCCCCGCGCCCCACATCCCCCAG